CAAGTTGGGAATGATAAACATTTATTCCCAACTTGAGGGGGAGTGTAGAGAACACTGATGTGGGCCCCACAACTACGGTTCCACTGTGTTCGTAGGGTAGAAGATGTTCTAGTCTGCCTAGGGTTAGCTATTGGTCATTTAGTTGTTTTAGTTGTTATTTATTTCAGTCTTATTTTCTGCTCTATTTGTTAGGTAAAGACTAAGGGCAGATCTGTCCTTTCCATGTAACGAGCATAACCTATAAATATAAATTAAAGTGGCGGCAGCAGTACATTAAGCTTCTGCTCCTCCTTTCAACTCTTGTGTTCTACTGCTTCTCCTCCCTCTTCCTCTTCTTTCCTCTTACCTTTCTTCTTACTTTCGATCCTGAAATCCATTAGGGTTCAAGACTGATAACAGTCCTGAACTTCTACTTCATTTTCCAAGATCCTTCTTTCTCTGTTTTATTGCCCATTGGAATCACATTTCCAGCATTATCTTCTAAAATGGACGAGTATCACATGATTAGGTTGGTGATTGGCCATAGTTTCATACACGAGTGTCACATGCTTTCTCTTCTAAAATGCATCTTTTTTCGACTTTGCCATCTCTCTCTCTCTCTATTACTGCTTTGGCACCCTGTAAGAAATAGCAATCAGTTACAAAGTTGAAGGGGCTAGAAGGGCTAGGGTTAGACTAAAAAGAACATGGGTCAAAGCAGTAAGAAATGATTCAAGCACTCACAATTTAACAATGGATATGGCATTAAACAGAATGGAATGGCAAAACAGGATTCATGTAAACTTGTTTTCCTAGTGTCTTGTTGGTTGGGTGTTACCTTGACATCCAATAAGATTGTATCTATCTTTTCTATTTTAATAAAATTTTCTTCATTACTATTCAAAAAAAAGGCTTAGCATCATCATCCAAGTCTTATCCCAACTATATAGGGATAACTTTTTATCAGTAATGGTTAAATTTTTTTGAATGAGTATTTGAGGTGGTCACTCGGCATCCCTTCAAAAAAGGTGTGGGATCAAAGCTTTGGAACTGCAGGCTCTCCATGGTATGGCCAATGGGCCTCATGTGCCCCCTGCTCTGTCCTCACCCAAGTCCCTTGTAATGTGTACTATGTAATACCAAAAAAAGAAAGAAAGAAAGAAGAACAAGAAATCTAATTAAAAAGTGAATAAGCAGCAGAATAGGACTATACAAAAGTGAATAAGCAGTAGAACAGTCAAGTTAACCTGATACCTCAAGCACCTAGTATGAAAACCATTGTGTTAATTCACAGAGATACAGAGATGACCTTAGACATACTTTGAGTGTCACGTTTAGCAGTTTAGACTGGATGCTAATCAACCAATGGAATGGAGATGAACTTGTTTCTTTTGTTGCTTGTTCATTAATTAATGTTTGGTGATATTTAACTCTTAAATTTGGTAACTTGCAGCTGTGGTGAAGGCCTTGGGTAGTGTGAACAAGTTGGAGAAGATGTTAAGCATTTGGCATGCTGGGAAGATGTTTTATGCACTATCTACTTGGGGACTTGCTTTTGCAGGGTGAGTTTTTTACCTATTTTAGTTTAGTTCTGTTTGTGGAATCCTTCTATGAAGTTATACAATCCACATACATAGAACCAAAACAGAAAATAAAAAAGGATATACTTCCTCGATAAAAGATAACTGTTTGGGTAAATTTTGAAGATGCCGGCTAGCTTGTTGGTAAAGTCTCCTGCTTGAAGAGGATATCAGGGATGAAATCCTGTCTTCATCATGGTTCAGGCTTCAGGGAGTTTTGGTGTTTGGGGAAGAATTAATATATATGGTTACTCAATCCCTTCTATTGGCATTACATAGGACAGATAACAGGGGAATCAGGGGTGGGGACAAAGCAGAGTAAACATGAGTCCCATTGGCCATGCCACAGAGAGCCTGCAGTTCCACGGGTTTGATCCTGTGCCTCCTATTTTGGAGGGAGCTGACTGACCATCTCAACTACTGGGTCATTGGTGGTCTAGTCGACCCATGGAGGCTTGACAATTGTTCTTCACCCATCCTAAAGACATTTAACCAGTCATTTATATTGGAAAAAATGAAGTAAATAATGTACTGACAACAAAAGTCTATTCAAATTTATCAGTTGTATTCAAAATCAGTGTTCTACTAAGCATATAAGTGCCTTTTGGTATGTATGTAGAAGTTTTAAATGGTGAAGTTTGAGGCTCCTCGGTGAAATGTAGGCATTTGGCCTCAGGAATTGGGACCAGAGATAAAAATACATTTATTAAATTTCAGATAAACATAGATATCAAGCTATAAAGCTGTTATTAATAAACAAGGATTGTAGAAACATACACGCAGGTTCACTTTTTTTCTCTAGAAGAAGAATACAGATATTGTAATTTACATATCTCTTTCTCCTATGTCCTCCCTTTCCCTTTTACCACTTCTTTGTCATAGTAAAAATAAGTATTTAATTATTAACTACCCTAAAAGAGTTTTCAATTCATTATATTTAAACAATATAATGTTCTTTTGATAAGCGAATAATGATTTTATTAATAAAAGAAGTATACATTCACCCTAAGAGGAGGCACGAGATGTTACCTCCCCTTAGAGATGAGGACATAACCATACTCTTAACAGGATTAATATAATTAAGTATATTTAAACAATATAATATTTAATTATTCCATATATTTATTAATATTATTAAGTATAAAAATAATGTTAAATAGTGGTTTATACATGTAGAAACTATAGTTTTGTAATGGTTACTGCCATGGTATGGGTTTCTGGCTGGGCAAATGGATTGTCTAGGTGACAACACTTTGTATACAAGGGAATCTCTCCCTCTTCCCTCCATTTATGAAAGTTTTTGCCTTCCAAAAAACGCAGTATCTTTGGATTACTTTCGATTAATAAACCTTCATTTACATAGGTTCACATTAAAATATAAAGAACATGTAATGACACAATATCAAAATCATGACAATTTATTCGTGATGATGTCACCACTCACCAGTATATTTTGGTAGTGTATTGAAGACTAGTGTTTTACCTCGAAAAAAGGATGAATCAGTTCATAATTATAAACATTAGATATAACTTGGCTGGTATGCATATAGGGCTGATCATAAGTGGAAAAGTTTCTGTAGTAATAACACCACAAACAATGTAGCTCAAAAGATGGTGGATATTCTCAGTGGTTTGGGAAAGAAGACTAGTCTGGATTTGCTGACCACGTAATGCTGGCCACAAGAGCCTACAGCTGCACATCGGGAACATCTCTTGTGCTCTGTTGTAATTCATTGGGAGATGTTCCCAATATGCAGCTGTAGTGTCTTGTGCACACGATGTTGCTACTGGCTAGTGCTTTGTGGTCAGCAGATCCGAACTCATAAGACTATACAAGTCTACTTGGAAATAAGAGAGGTATCACAGGCTAACCGAGATAATTGTGTTGTTAATTTACAGGTTGTATAGGCATCGTGCTATCTTGAAAGTGGCAGCCAAAGGAGTTGCAGTATCCAGCAAAGCTGTTATGAGGGTCCTCTGAAGATGGATGATCCCTTGGATTAAATGCGCTGAAAGAAACTTCCATATATTGTTTAATGCATGAAACCAGACTATCACTGTATAAATGCTTTTTTCATTGTGTTGCATGTCCTGTGGCTGTATATAGTGGTGGCCTTTGCATTCTTTGTAAAAGTGATGGCCTTTGCATTCACTTCCATTATTGTTTCAGAAATCTGAATCACTAATCTGGTGAATGATTGTTTCATTGATTTCTGTAGCACATATGTAGCTTAATCTACAACTCTTTATCTCTAGTTTTACAATTTTGGCGGGGTCCCAAACTTCTAAAATTGAGATACGTGAGTGGTACATCCCATGACCAAACGGAGTTTAACAGAGAAATGGTGGTGAACATCCAGTTCTGTGCAATTCTTGGATTCTTTGACCAATGAGCATCGTCGAACCTGAAAAGATACACTAGAAGATAAAATTAGACTGTCTTCATAAGGGTCCACCTTGTACGTAGGGTGAGGAAAACAGAGTCGGTGACAAAGGCATTATCCTTGTTTACTGGTATTACTCGTTTAAATATTGGGGTAATTTTCATTCGTTACTTTGATCCTTAAACCACCGTTAAAATTTAGGGGGTGTTTGGCATAATATTTCCGTTTGATGATGACTGTATCAAGGATTAAAATATTATCACATCCTTACTGGTGACGATGGAGACGAAAGGATACATCAATATACGCACGGATATTGATGATAATATAGAAAAGTATGGTTTAAAAAAAATGAACAAGGATTAAGCAGCCAGCAGCCTCTTTTGCATTGTGCTTTAAAAAAAATATATTATCATTTAAAAAAATGATGTGATTTTCAACCATATCACCCTTTCTCAGAATGTTTAACCGAAACCTATGTACTCTTTTCAAACTGAGCCCAATGCTTGTGTCATTGTGAGCATGAGACCCAGTCAAACCATTAACTGACATGGAGTATTATCTGTCTGACATCATAGGTTTTCCTTTACCTGAATATTGGAGTCTATAGGGTGGTTTGTTATGAATCGTCAGCCCAACAGTCAGTTTGAGATTCGTGAGTCGTGACAGTCTATTGTGTCCAGTTGTTCTCAAATGGGTCCATGAATTGTTAAATGGAGGTCCATGCTGATTGGAACTTGGAAGTTCGATACGTGGTTCAATTTGTGATATTCACTTTATGGCTCAAACCATATTATCCAAGGTTTTAAAAATCAGACCGGATACAAAACTGTCTTGGGACTGGTTCCCTGGTTCGAACAGATGGCCTATTCTGATTTAAAAAAATAATAATAAAATTTTCAAAAATAATTAAAATAAATAAAATGACAAAAAGCGTTATCTGGGTTAATGGTTTAATGGTTCAACCACCCAGATTAATGATTCGCTGACCAAATCAACAATTGTCAGCCCAAGAACGGTTTAAGGTAAAATAGAACCAATTGCCTGACTAATTCCTAGATTAACCGGTCCAACCATCCAATCCAGTCTGGTTTTCAAAACCATGATATTACCAATGATTCTATAGTTTGGAAGGCTCTTTACATTTTGTTGGCATATCCAGAATTGTGCTTGAAAATAAGATTTTTTATTCTGCGTAATGCGTGTGCTACTTTGAACCATTCACCTAAATTGCAGCATGGTTTTCCTGCCTTCATCTCCACTCATTGGTTATCACCACCACCTCAGCAGCTTATCTGTACCCTTCAGGGGTTGTATCGGGTCAGACCATGGTTCAGAGGGTAATCGGGCCTTAAACTGACCCCTCTGAACTGATTTTGAAAAAAATAAATAAAACTTCAAAAAAATATCAATACATGCCGACAGCGTATCGACCTGTATTGATGCTTTGAACCTTGGATAATACCTCCACACCTTGACAGTTATCCCTTCTATTATTTCTCATATTATTGAGACTGAACAATGTAACTAGTTTTGCTGTTGAACAGAATTGCCTTTATAGCTTCAAACAAAATACTAAATTATTTTGATTAAGCTCTCGCGCTCTCTCTCTCTCTCTCTCTTTCTCAAGGTCTCGTTGTGACGCAGAGAATACTCTGTTTTCATGGGATCTAAACCATTGGTCCCAGAGCCAAAACCTCCCAGAGTGGGAAGAAGGACCAAGTTGAATATTACATTGACTCATTGGTCCAGCTCGAACTGGACGATATCCACATTGCTGTTCACTATAGGCAACTCCACATTTTGGAAAACATGTTTAGTCTTTTCCAGCTATAGATGTGGTATACAAGATCCTTCAATCCTACAACCGTACCTCAGTAGTGGAAGGGTTGGTTGGACCACAATTCTGGATCATTTGGACTGGGGTTAATCATTTTTCTCCATAACTAGTGTCCTAACTACTCAATGAGTTCGGATCTGCCGAACTCCTGCTCAATGCAACGACCAGTAAGGTTTCAATTCCTGTTAGTTTCTTTTCCGTTCTGTAATTTAGTTATATATATTATTTAATTTAAGTGATAAATCACGTTTTATTTCTAAAAAAACAACCCATATGGATCTTGCATTTGAAATGAGTTTTTTTTCCTCTTTTCAAGGAAGATTACTACCACCAATCGAGGTAACTACTATTTGGAGGTCATGTTTTTCTATTGAGAATAGATAGACACGTCTCCAAAAGAATGATGCTTCTATTTGAGAAAGAAAATAACTACTATTTTAAGAAAGGTTTTTAAAACAGGATCGGACAAGGAATCGTTTTAGAGTCTGACCGTTCGAAGCAAACAGACGGCCCTCTCAGACAAAAAAAAAATAATAAATTAAAAAATAAAAAAACAGCAAAAAATCGTTGTTCGAGTCGATAGTTCACGGTTCAACCACAATACTGGACCGCAATTTACACCTCTATTCATGGGAACATGAAAGTAGAATACCAAAATTTCATGAAATCGCATTCATGAGTGAGTGCAGAGATGCAACACTTGATCCTCATGAATCATGATATATCTAGGAAATTCATGTGCTAATAACCCAGAAATGTTGCCTGCAATATTGGATCATAGAGTGGAATAGATGACAACTACAATTTACACCATCCATGGTAAATTCTATGGAAGCATGAAAGTACAATGCCAAGCAATTTCATGAAATTGAATTTCTCTGGAGTGAGTTCAGAAATTTAACACTTGATCCTCATGAATCACGATATATGTATGAAGTTTATGTGCTAATGCAATCATGCATTTAACAATTACTAGAACTACTGAAGCTCAATCCGGTGTTCCTGATCCTGATATCAGCAAAGCAGATAATTTTTCAGAGAATCTTATACCATAACCATGAGAGATTTTTATCACAATGGAGGATAAATATGCAATGAACTCAAGGAATCTAGTATTTTACTTTCTTGGGCAGCTAATAATGGGCTGAGTAGTGTTCTGCACAAACAATGTTGTTATTGCACATCAACTTTGAAAATAAAACAATCATGGAGGCTCAACAAGCCCCAGATGCATACTCTGCACTGGTCATGAATCCGTCTCCTTGCTCTGTGAGAGCTTTTGTCTAACTACTTTCGCAAGTTCCATGACATGATTATCTTCACATCCTACATGCGTTAAAAGTTACTAGAAAGAATAATTAAACAAGAATCAGACTTTAGCTTTCAATTCAAGATCTGAAGTATATTTACCTAATTGAAGAAGAGCTTTCTCAAGATGGAAAAGATAGTCTCTATTGGGTCCCGAGGGGCCTTCTGCATGGACAATTTGGCTGCATAAGACAAAGTATAAGTATTGGTGAGAAAATGAGAATGCAGTACCACCAAGAAAGGATTGCGTATAAAAAAAAATGGGGCAGAATAAGAAAACAAGGATTAGCATACTTGGCCATCTCTTCTAGTGATGCAGGGCCCAAGTAATTCTTATTGGACATCTTGTCTGATGATGCTATGTACCTAAATGGGATAAGTGTGAGAACGAATCTAATTGCACCCCTTTTAGGAGGGAAGAGTTTAACAATCAAGTAAGGGCATGGTCCTTTCTAATACTTACACCATTACCCCAGAGACTTCAGGAGTTGTAGACTCTAGATCCTGAAACCATTTTATGTTTGCACATTAAATTACATGATGACAATCCTAAAAAAATGGAATTCCAATAAAATTTACATAACTTACAGTAAAGGCGTCAAGATAAGCCTTCACATCATACTGCTTCTCCCTTACTTCTAAATACTTCATGTCAGACCACCACAGGAAGAATATAATGATTTAAAACAGTTGGCATGACAATAGTAAAACATCATTTTTAGCTGTACACATGAACACTGAGAGATAAGTGATGCAAATATAGGACTGAGTTGGTGCATAGGAATGCAAGATGTTGTAAACAGGAGAGAAGCTCTTTAATAATAAATGACTTATTACTGCATGAATTGTGCATATGAATACTTCATTCCTTATTCATGAACGCCAGATAGATTAACAGTGTCTTGGGTAATTTGATAGGTGCAAAACCATGGATAGGAACAAAACCCACTAATATTCAGTCAAATTTTAAAATTTCAATTGAGAATTTTCAGGCTGAAGTTTCATAATTTCAATTTCATTTCCCCCTAAAGAAACTGAATCTTCATGAAACTAACCTTACTTAGACCTACTAGATCCGGGATTAGCATCAACATTCACAGACCTCTTAGAGTTTCTTCTATAGGCAATTGAAAAGTTACAGTTTGGTTTGGTGAATCCTTGTGTTGTACATCCAGTATGGGTTCTTGATTTTCACAATTAAAACTTTAGAGTCCAAAAAGAATTTCAGATTTACGAGATGGATCATTAATTTTCCACCAGAAGATGTGGTTTACTACTCTGTGTTGTATGCATTTAAATAGACTTGGATCCAAAGCATAAGATATAAGGCCAAAGAACCTATTTGTTCAGAATGTATATTTTGTTGAACATGATATCAAATTAGCAACAGGAAATCACATCTTTGAAACCAGAAAATCAGGAACATATTTCTAGCCTTAGTTTTGGAGAAAAACAAAGAAAAAGAAAAGAATATGTTTTATGTGCTCTTTTCTCCTAGGAAAAGAAGAAAAGAAAAGGTGGAAGAAGAATGTGTTGATTAGACCAGATTTTAAGTTCTTCCTTGCATATTGGTTCAAGTTTCAAAGTCTTTGAGGGTTCAAGACAGCATATACCAACACATGTATTAATTGAAACCTAAAAATAAGAAAATAATAAAAAAGAAACTAATATATAAACCCACAAAATGAATATTTTAGTTTAGTAATGTCTATTTTATCATTATAATCTTAAAAAAGAATATAAAAATATTTCATAGCGACATGTACAAATTAGCTTGGCAATTAAGTAGGATGACCCTCCATGGTTCATGGGCACTAGTCGTTGCCTAGGTTCCTAGGCGTCACCTTGACAACTATGGTACCACATCTATTTCATTCTAGCTACATATTTGATTTGAAGTGCCATCATGGTCTTCATAATAATCCAAGCTAATCCCAAGTTCCCAACCGAGCTCAAGTATTTCAGGCATCCAATGAAAATTCCATGAGGTTTTAAGTTGTTTTTCTTATTATTTATTTGAGATGGTTGACCATTTAGTATGCTTTTTTTTTGTTTTGGGTTGTTGATTCTCTCCTTCCCTCTCTCTCTTTGAGCATATGGGCATCCATTGTGTTACCATGGGGCCATACATTGAAGTGAGATAAGTTACATTGATTGGCTTGTAAGTTTGTAGCTTTTAGTGTTCTAACCCAACCTATTAACAAAGCCCTTGATAGCCTAATCTTTACTTAGGCATTTTTCTTTCAATCTAGTTCTTTAAAGTATACTAAGTGAATTTGGGCTTAAGTCAATATTATATGATGGACCTAGACTTAATTTTGTTTGAGCCAAGGCCCACTGAAAGCTTATTTTGGCAAACCTGGATGAATTTGGACAAGTTTTCTAGAACTTAGATCAAAAGAAAGTTATGTCTTGGTTTCATTTATTTCCTTGTTACTTGCTCTAATATGCTTGGCAAACACCTTTGAAACCTGAATTTGATGCTGGTTCTTTGACTTCTGAAACGTCTAGCTACATTAGGAGCTTTTTCTCAGCTTCTTTCAAACTCCTAGAACCATCACTTCTCCTCTTTGTCTCCAAAGCCATCACATCCTTCTCGCCCCCTCCTAAACAGTCCCCACCAACCCCAACAAGAGTCACCCTCTGTTGGATCTCCATATTGTCAAAAATAAGACCACCAGCTGATTTACTTATTTTCTCTTTCATCCTACTCTTTTGCTCCAACTCTCTAAAAGCCTTAACCTCTTGTGGGGCCAAGTCATTACATTCCACAATTTAATCACAACCTTTGATGCCATTACCTCCATCCATGATGATAGCTTACATCTTGTTCTTAAATTTATGTGAATCTATTAAGATTCACATAAATTTATGCTGCTTATGGATTTGTCTTAGCTTTAAAGAAATTAGTGTTGGCCCTATGTGTTTTGACAATAATAAACTCATTGAGGGTATAAATGGTTTAAAAAGTAAGTGTGTAGATGCAGAAAAGAGTCCTCATTTGAGCTTAACAAGGATAAAGAAGAAACTACTCACATGAGGCAAGAAAGGACAGATGGCAAGCCTCATTTGTGCTTAACAAAGATGAAAAGAAACTATTTGCATGAGAAAAGGAAGAGCAGCCGATTCCCATGATGCAGTGAAGACACTTCAAGACTCTCCAAAGACAATAATGCTTCAAATGATAAAATAAAGACATCAAGAACCACCTACAAAGGAAGATTTGCTACCAAAGGAAGAAGAAAAAGAAGACATCAAGCTCCAAAAGACTTGATTTATTTTCATCTTTCTAGGACTTGATCTAACCAGGTACAGGATATACTACATGAGCTTAAATGAAATCATACTCGGTTAACCAACCTTAGAGACCAAATGGCTAAAGTTGTGTGTGGTTCTTGGGCTTTCATAGACTTTAACTGAGTTAAGAATGTGAAAAAATCATGTCTGGAAGCCTAAGAGATTGATTACCAAGCATTTTAGAATACAAATCTCTAAGTGTTCTAAGGTTTAAGTTATCAAAGTAGTAGACTACTTTGTACAGTAAAATGCTGTGAATAGTTCATGTAGTCTGTAGAGAACACTGATGTGGACCCCACTGCTGTGGTCCCCACTATGTTCGTATGGCAGCATATTTTTTGTTAGTTTATTTTTGTTAGTTATGTCAGTGTTAGTTGGTAGTTATTTCAGTTTGTTATTACAGCTTCTTATTTCAGCTTTATTATTAGTTTATTTGCCATGTAAGCAATAACGGCAATTCAGCCCTTTTACAATTAGTCAACATATATAAATATTAAGAGTGGGTCGGCAGATC